TTTAGTTTTTACTGTGTTTTTCGTAATAAAGATTTTTATAAAGTATTCTCTATGTAGCCATAAAAACAGCTACTAAGAGTTATGATTCTAACAACTTTAGGTTTAACTTACATAACTTTCTACTTATTATCACAACTACGACAACTAATATCACTGTTACGACTACGACTGTTGCAGGGAATATTGAGGCTACTATTACTACTACTGAGATGAGAAAAAATTACTTTTCTCACTGGGTCATATAAACTTTAACTAAAGGATTATGAAATATTGATTACAAAAAAAAAGAAATATATTAAAAAACGAAAGGTAAGTTATATCTTCGAATTTTTAAAACTTTATTTCAGGGTTTATTTTTTATTTAAAAATCAGGTGATTGTTCTTTACTCTTTTTTTTCTATTTTCCGTTATCACTTACTATTTTGTATCTGCTTCTTTAAGGGGATTTTACCAAAAATTCGGAAAGGAAAAATTCACTTTTATTTGTTATATTGCAATTCTATAATTATTTCTCAATTTATAAGGTCCTATACGTATGTTTGGGTATTATCAGGTTTATGCCCTTAAGAAAGCGTTTATGCATAATTGGACAGTAATTTCAGCTCTTTAAAATTAAATCTTAATACTTCATTATTGATTTGTGACTAAAGAAATGTGAAAGATCGAAATATCATGTTTAGTGCATTTAAGTGCATAAAAAAACATACATGCATATCACTTATAACAATTTATGATGCGTTCGATGGGGCTTGATTTTGATTTATTTAACTTTGTTAAAAGGTTAATTCAAAATGTAATGCTGTTTAATTTATGAGTATATTGTATGCTCTGTGGCACAAGTCTACATGTATGGGCAACCAGTGTGAATTGAACGCCGAGTCCAGCTTGCTTACAATTACCCCACAAGGTCCAGAGGGCGTTTTATTTGCTGAATGTTTTTATTTCCTAAATATATCAGCTTCCTTTTTGTTTATTTTGATATTTGTTGGCATTGGCAACGTTATATTCGTTACAAGATGAATTTCCTGATCTCTGTTCTTTCATTGTTGATACATACACAAATATCTTACACACCTGTTACCATGTATTTATGCACACTCAAATTATCCTTATATATATATATATATATATATATATATATATATATATATATATATATATATATATATATATATATATATATATATATATATATATATATATATATATATATATATATATATTCTTAAATCAACACCATCTTTTGACAAGACACCAGATGTGTTGAAAGAAAATAGCTATTTTTGTATGATGTTATAACATTTTTATGCTATAATTTTTTTTTAATAAATACTATATATATATATATATATATATATATATATATATAGATAGATAGATAGATAGATAGATAGATAGATAGATAGATAGATATGACAATTTGTTCTCAACAGCATAAATAATTTAGAAAGCCAATCTGTCCGCATGAGATCATGGTCGGATTTTAAGCAACCTTCCTTTCGCTGTCATTATAGTTTGTTTTTTTTTAATATCTAGAGAATGTAATTTAATGTTGACCATTTAAGGATAAAATGTGGATGGAAATGATAAATTTAAATTGATATTCATTTTGCCATAACTCTCAAAACATTTCTGAGACTAATTAGAAATTTTAATTTCATTCCAACTCATTACAAAAATTCGATTGTAAAGATTCGATTGTAATAGTATTGTTTCTTAAAACTCATACAACTAATATAAAGTCCAGAGCCATATTCATATACATAGATGAAAAGTTGGACAAGAACACACGTAATTATATATCTGTGTGTGTGTGTGCGTGCGTGTGTGTATGTGTGTGAATAAAAAGACAAGTTGAAAAAACTATTTTTATCTGAGGGACGCTATCAAGGCAAATGTAATGATTTATTTTATTTAGTTGCACGTGTCTATATAGAAGAGCAATGATGTCATTGGTTTATCAAAGGTTTTAAATTTGAGAAGTTCATGAATATTCATCAGGTAGTTCATCGTATATTTATATTTGCGTGTGTATGTGTGGATGTGTGTGCGCGAGCGCGTGTGTGCGTGCGCACGCACGTCTTGTCTTTATATTAAGGGATATGTTCGCAAACATTGCAAGCAAATGATTGACCATCATGATATCCAATATTTCCCACCAAAGGTGGTCTGAAAACTTGAAGAAATTCCGGTTTCATGATATTACCGCATTTTGGCTAGACTCTGCTTCAGATATGGCCGTCTTTGCCAGCTTCCATTGTCCACTGGCGTTCATGTAAGTCTTCAGGATGTCATTGTATGTATGTTGCGATTATGTACTATTCAAAAGCTTACTAATATACAGTTATCTAAGCCAGACCGAGTTAGTCCGCCAATAGGCTGCGTGCTGACATCTCGTTTCCAATTATTACGCGAGATTTTGTACCGTTGTGTTGGAACGGTTATATGATCTTTAAAGTGAGGGACATGTCCAGCAACATACCTGCATCGTATTATGCGTGAAGTTTGGCAAATATACTGTTGTGATTCTCAAAATGCTTCTTTAGGATTTAATTTGTGGTGGCTGGTAATAAATGTAAATAATGTGAAGAAAGCTAAAACATAAACAAAACCATGGAGATCGTATACGAAGATAAATCCGTAAAAAACGTTTTCTAACAATGCTACATTCACATATTCGATTTATTTCATAATTATGGAGTCCTAATATCCCATACGATCTGAATTTATGTGAAGAAAATTCAAATTTTAATGTCAAATTAAGACTAAATGTTCTTTGAATTTTTAATTTATTTAGGAGATTAGGATTTTGCCTTCTTTGGGATAAGAGGCTGAGTTTTTGTCCGAATGTTTTTTTTTCTTTTCTTTTCTTGTTTTTTTTGTCCGATGTGTGCAAACCTTGTCTTGTTTCTTTCCTTTTAACACTTTTTTCCAGTGACTGTTTTACCTAGATTGGTACTTCAATATGTTAGCTTTCAATATACTATCATGCGCGATATTTTTAATAAAGATATTTTTTTAATTCTAATGTTGTCTAAAGAAAAAAAACTTTTTTCTTTTACCCAGCACATAATATTATGACTCGAGAGATATTTGTTTTCATTAGTCCTCATATTTGACTTAGTATAGAGAATCGATTGTGTTTTAGAATTAATCTCAAATTCGATCCTGTAGTTAACGCTAAAATCGTGCAGGCAAATTTGATTTTTTCTCTTAAACGCTCTTATAAATAATATAAAAATCATCATGTATGCATTTCTATGTGTAGAAATGTTTTAAATCTAATCAAAAGAGTTTCATGCATTTCCGATTAAGAAGAGATGGGCATTGTAAAGCATTTGCTTTTTCACTTATGTTCATTCATTCTTGGTCATCACTATAAAATATATTTCCCTTTACTTCGCAAACAGACCAGAGTCTTGAGATAAAAATTTCACGTATAAATCTACGTGATATCAATAGTCAACAGATATAAATATTGGAGCGCTGAAAAGTTTTCGGCTCGATTAAGGTACCCTCCAAAATATCTGTTGTTTTGACATATGCTTAGATTTTGAAAAGTGTGATGGGCCAAGAATTTTGTCGTTTCTTGCATCTAAAAAGAAAAAGACTAGTTGCATCTTGTCAATCTCAGAAAGACTTTGTGAAGAGACACAAATATCTATTGATTGCTTCCGTCTAGAACTTAGAAAGATGAAATTTCGATTAATCCTGAGAAATAAAAAACAATCACTATGTTCTCAAATCTCAAAAAAATATTTCAAAATTCTCACGTGCAAATATGCACACATTTATCAAAGGTTCACTTAAGAATTCATATTCCCATACCCGCTTTTTATCTATAACGGATTATTGCACTAATTCGCCGAAAAAGAGCATATCATGATGAAAAAGGCCTCTAAACTTGAAAAAATGTTATCGTCTAAATGTTTATTTTATTATTAAGCGGAAATACTTTGGTCTTTCCTCTTTATAATAAAAATTTTGACGAGAAAACTTTTTGATTGTTTTAAGTTTTTTTCATCATGCTATGCTGTTTTTTTGGCGAATTAATGAAGATACCTACGGTAGCGTGTTTGTCGCTCTGTATATTGATATGCATAAACATTTTTGTCGCTCTGTACATTGATATGCATAAACATTTTTTAAACGAATTATAGATGCCTACTGTTAAACTACTAAATTTTTTATCCTTTTCCATATGTTCTACGTATTTATTTCAATTTGCAAAAGAATAGACCTAATGAGATAATGGTAACATTATGAATCACAGTTTTGTCTATAACAATGTAGTGCCTTATTAAATATAGTATCAGTAGCAGCCCTTAATAAACATAGTATCAGCAGCAGCCCTGGGATATAAAAACAAGCAAAGCCTTAAAGTAACACTCTTCCTGTTTTTCCCTTTTGAATTGTGTGCCATCAACATTTCACATTGAACCAAAAAGATGCTTTACACACAAATACACGTAAACAGGCAAGTTACACTCAAATACATTCATTAACAATTTTCGTTGCGTATGGAATTTACTTCCAGAAAAAGAAAGTCTTAAACTTTCCTTTTGTTATTTTGGTTAATAAAAGTTATCTTACATTGCAAACCAATCGGTTTCTGTTATTTTGTACATGTACCGCTTACATTCCTATTATTTCATGTATTTTAAAATATTCCCGTAATATTAATTAAGTAGACAACACATTAAAACAATAAGATACATCCAACTATAAATATAATAAATCAACCAAAGTGTAAAAACAACTAGCAACAACAACAAAAACAACAAGAACAATAATAATAATAATAATACCTAACAATAATAATTAAGAAAATGACAGCAATATATGTATATATCAATAATCCATAAACACTGATTAATTAACTTCGGAATGAATTTATCCAAGTAAGAGTAAGAAAAACTTCATCAACATCAATATCACTCTCTTAAATGGATACGATATAAGTAGATAAATAAATATTAACTATAATAACAAAAAACTTCATGGATGATAAAGACACCTGTTATAGACTTGCGTTTTTTTCCAACTCTCCGTGACTATTCGCTAATGTTTGGGTTTCGATCATTACTAAGAACCGCCTCTGTGACCATGTACCAAACAAAATTGAACTTCATAAAGATCTGAATACGTTACTGTGGGGAAATGGAAATGGATTCTCTATGTTGAATGCCTTTACTCATCTAATGAGTTCTACCTTCGCTGGCTGCTCAATGCTTGTGACCTGCTAGTGTACAAAATGTAAATGATGTTAATTATGGCTATGCAAAAAATAGCAGATATGATCTACCATACAAAATAAATATACAGAAAAAATGTGGAAATCATTTATCATTGAAAGGTGCGAGAAATGGCAAATTGTGTTTGCTTAGAACTACAATATCATAGAATGTTCAACTGGTGTGCAATTATTAACAATAGATTTTGGGCACCTCGAGGTGGTGTAATGACTAGCAAGCTTGTCTTGCTAGAACAATTTCGACTGAGTAATGAATTCGATCATCACTGGATGCCCCATAATTTCGGCCTTGTGCCACATCTAAGCTACGCTTGGAAAATCAGTATATGTCTGTTTCGGGCACTTCGACGTGGTGTAATGGTTAGAAAGCTTGTCTCGCTAGATCGATTATAACTGAATAGTGAGTTAGATCCTCACTAGGTGTTCCACACTTTCGGCTCGACCGAGTGTAATGGTTAAGCAAGTTTGTCTCGCTGGAACAATTTCGACTTCGAATTTTTATCAACACGCGTCAGAGTGTTAAAATCCTCACAGAATTTGGTATTGTTGAATTATTGCTAACATATTTTTGTCTAGATTTACAAACCCTACATTTCATTCAATTTCGCAAACCAATCGATGAAATTTGAATAAGCTGATTTATTTGGAAAAATACTTTGATAAAAACCCTACTTACTTTCTTTAATTTAATTTTATAGGACTTCATAGTAAACAATATTTTTAAGAAAATGTTTTCCCTTTTTAACAGCGAAGAATAAATTCTTAGGATTTCTTATTCTTGAACATGCAACATACAACTGGCTAAATATTTCTTACTGGGGCAAAATTCCAACGTCTTGAAGCGTTTGGTCTTGTAATTTGTTTATAGTTCTCGCAAATGCAAGGTGAACTGGAAACTGGATTCTTGTATATAAAAACTTAGTGAAAAGATATGCAAAAAGCACTATTGCATTTTATTAAATAAGTATTTGTTATTTTAATCAGTAATTTTTTAAAAAGTAGTTTGTGTATTTTGTATGTTAAATAAAAAGACTTTTAATTTTCTCCCTTAATTGTACTTTGTACCTGTTTGTACTTCTCCCCAAAATGTGGTTTCGATTGGTCATTGTATGGCTATTTTATAGGGTGTGAGGGACAGACGGACTAACAGAAATCACAGAATTTTATATATAGATGGATTACTAAAAAACAGGAAGGATAATAAAATGATAATAGGGACAAAACTGATGATCATGTTGATATTTATAAAGAGAAAATCAAAGAAACGTTGAACTCCATATAGAAATATTTAAATATCTTTCTTTAGACGTGAGATTAACGTTAATTTGCTCTTAAATTAAGAACGCGTATTAGATATGCAAATTGCTGAAGGTTCATATATGCAGATTTCAAGGAATATTATGAAAAACAATTCGACTCCTTTATGAGAAAATTTTATGAAAATGTTAATTTACAATGGCTACTTTCTTCTTAATTAAGCACACGTGAAAAAAATGTCGAGACAAAAACGTGACTTTATTGGGATTTTAATCCTTAATTCATATGTGGCATATTTCTTTTAATAATTGACTGATTCTTGATTTGTTGGTTGTTTGGTTGAAAAGATGAAGAAATCCAAGAAAAAAAAATACAATCAAATAAAATTTAATTACCAATTTTCTTTCCTCACTTGTTTGGTTACCAACTGTCCTTTATTGGAAAATGCAGTCCTTTATCGCTTTCTGTCCTTGTCCTTTGTTGACTTTGAAAAGTTAAAATAAATGTCATTTTCAGTTATATTGCACATCTACAGGAATTAAAAGTTGCTACTTTCATATTTTTCTTTATATCCTTTGTTATAATTTGAGAATGTTAACAGCACTTCTACGCAACGTGTTCTTCAGGATGTGGGTGATCATGCATTCTATATCCTTTGTAACTCTTAGTAAAGTTCGTTTTTTCGTTCCATCTCAGTCATCCATTTATTTTTTTTTATTTTTTAGAAGCATATCAACGCAACATTTATTTAATGCTGAAATCTAAATATTTTGAACACAATTTTATAGCTTCAAGTAAATAAATACAATACACCGGTATTATTGTTGGTAATTTTATTATAAATAAGTATTGTTGGTAATTTTACTCAATGTATTGTTGTTATTTTTTCATGTAATATATAAAATGTATTTTTATACCTTCATATTATGTTTTTTTTTATTTCGTTTGGGGTTTAACTATTCGCCCATGGCCAGAACCCTAACAGGTCCTACCACCAAGGTCCTGGGAACAATAGCAATTAAGAGGCGATTCCACGCTCTTCAAAACCTCCAATCTCCTTATTCTTCCTGTTGAATGTAGTTTATCGTCATACTTAGGATTGCTATCTATTTACGTAAACTCACTAGGTAAGATACGTGTTGATTCCCTTTGCCGATTTTGCCTTCAGTGTGTCCTGTATGCGTCATATTCTCCAGACTATCTTTCCTCACTGTGCTCTAGAAATCTCAACTCATTCTGAATCTAAGTATAAGAATCCATTTTGTTTCCATTTTCCTTAAAATTTTTGCATTTCTCAAATATTCAGTCTATGGGAGTCCTTCAGTGGAGCAATGTTTCTGTTTCCTCAGGTCTCTTCATCAGTGAGGATATTGTTCATCATTTACTGCCATAGAAAAGGACTGGTATTGCGTAACAGTTTAGTGCTGTATTCTCTGTTGCTCATGAAATTCACCTGTTTCTTAATATTTTGCTTAACTTCTGAAAGGCATGCTTTGCTATGCCAATGCACCTTCGAATTTCGGTGTCACATTTTCCGTCCTCTGTTAGAATACCCCCACCGGATATTTAAGAGTTTGCAATTGCTTGCTTTGAATATCTCTAATTCATAGTCCGCATTTTGTGCTTATCTTCTTGCTAAGAACTCTTCTTGAAAACCCTACTGGCATGACATGCAACTTTACAAACATCTTACAAAATGCTGAGAAATTTATACATAGAAATCAATATTTAAATGATTTAAGTTTCTAAAACTTTGTAATCCACATCATACAAAAACTGTCATCAATTCTTTTCATTCTAGGATTTATTTCCTTCTCAAATTCCACGTGTATGTTCGTTTAGTCTTCGTTATTTTTGTTTTGTTTTTTCATGATTTTGCCATTATTATTTCTCTTACACCCTTTCTTTCTGGGACTATCATTCTTCAAGTTTTCCTTTCTTACTTTATTCATTATTGACTTAAACTTTCTATTTCCTCTTTCCATAACACTGTCTTAATGATTTATAAAAGAAAATTCAAAGTAGAAGTTAAAAAAAAACCTAAAATGATTTATCATTAAAATGTCAAACTAATTAAACCATCTCCACCGTGGCTTTAGTCCTGGAGTTTAAAACTGAATCATTTCATGAAAAGGAATTTCTAAACAAATCGTGCATCACATTTAAGTCCGAACTGTGATACCAAAATATACCGCGAAAATACAACTACAAAAATAGGTCCGTTAATTTATGTATCTACTTTTAAGTGCTTCATACAATACGGTTTTAACAGTGGGGTGGGGTTGGTATTTTTTCTGTATGCAATAAACGGGTGTTTTAATTAAAAAAAAAAATTGGGATCGGAAAATCACTTAAAGTGTATTAAATAAATAAACCAGGTGGTCTTAAGCTGAGAAAGGCCAGAAATGTTCTCAAGAAAACGACTTCTCTTCTATCAGGTACCTGATACTATTGCTTAACCGATCTGTTCTTTTTCGGCTTATCACCCATTTGTGAATTATTTAAAGCCGACATATATTTCACATTATAGAAGGTCTCTTACTCTATCCGGTGTTCTCAAGACACCCCCACTCCATCCAGGTATCGACCGGGTTCGACACTGCCTAAATTCAGTGACCGAACAAGAACCGCTTTGTTTGTTTGTTTTTTTCAGCTAGATATGGTTTTGAATAGAGAGAATGGCCCAACATTATGAGCCTAAAATTTATCTACATACAAGTATATATATATATATATATATATATATATATATATATAGGTAAATTATGACGTGTTAATTAATATTTATAATATAATGTCGCCATTACCAAGTTGGATGAAGACAAAGAGTCAGTAGGGAAGGAAGATAACAGCTAAATTAATGTGAATACAAAATAAGGTGAATATAACAGAACAGATATTATTTTATTGCCATTTCTGATAGGAAGATGATTTCCTCTTTGTTTGTTTTCACCTGTTCTCTGTATTTTAGTAAACAGCTTAGTGTTGTTGAATTGACAATGATGCAGATAAAAAAAAACGAAATTCAAAAGGAAAATAAGTTATATTTCATTTCCCGAGACATCCTTAATATTATCAATAATATTAAATAAGTTGTTTTAAACTCAATGTGTATTGATAAGAGTTCACTCATAAACAAGAAAATATAGAATCGTTTGTGTTCAAGACCATTAGCGCAATAGTAAAATGTATATTAAATTCAGAAACCATCTTTATATTAACTACATACTTCAACAGTTTATCAAATACTAGCAGTAGAGCCCGGCGTTGCCCGGGGATGTAACAGTAAGAGATAGATCAAGTATCGACCATCATAAAGACTGAAAAATAAAATTGACAAAGATTATTGTTTAAGGTTGATGGACACGCATGTCTAAATTAGTTTTTTTTTTTTTTTTCGAATTGGTCAAACCCAAACTCAAACAAAAACATTGTTTTCAATCATTATGCGTCTACCGATTGAATAGAATTTTATTATAAACAATTGTCTTGTAAATGCATACTGAATTAAAGTATTCTGAATGTAAAAATAAAGAAAAAAGTGCGCAAGACAATAAGAAACACTACCTGCCAAAAAAAAGTGAGGTTTTCTTGAAATCAGTTGAAAAATGTAGGAAATCCGATCCCATATATAAACGAACACACAAGCAACCTGGGTTTTATAAGTATAACTCGATATGAGTTGTCCCCCTTTCATTCACGCGATGACTCTTAATCGTGTTTTCAAATTGATTTCGTGCAAAAACAATTGTGTTTTTCCAATTGTTACCGCAAGGTAATTTTACGTAGTCCTGTGAAGTTTTGTTGAAATCGGTTGAAAAATGTAGGAAATCCGATCCAATATATAAACGTACAGACACACACACACACACACACACACACACACACACACACAACCTGGGTTTTATAATAAGTATGATTATTTGACAGAAAAGAAGTTCATAAAATGATAACATCAGACAATCATTATTGAGCAATAATCGAGTTATAAAATAACGTTCAATTTACGTCGTCAGTTTTTTGTTTTGTTTTCTTTCGTGTTTCCTTACTTTAAAGCTTTTTTTTTTCGTTTTCTCTCTTCCTCTCTTTCGTTTTCTTCCTTTTTCTTTCGCTTTCTTTCTTCCTTACATTTCCTTCCTTCTGTCCTTCCTTCCTTCCTTCCTTCCTTCCTTCCTTCCTGTCCTTCCTTCCTACCTCCCGTCCATCCATCCTTCCTCCCGTCCTTCCTTCCTCTCGTTCTCCCGTCCTTCCTTCCTCCCGACCTCCCGTCCATCCATCCTTCCTTCCTTCCTTTCTTCCTTCCTTCCTTCCGTCCTTCCTTCCTTCCTTTTGTCCTTCCTTCCGTCCTACCGTCCTTCCTCTCGCCCTTCCTTCCTCCCTCCCGTCCTTCCTTCCGTCCTTCCTTCCGTCCTTCCTCCCGTCCTTCCTTCCTTTATTCCTTCTGTCCTTCCTTCCTACCGTCCTTCCTTTCTTCCTTCCTCCTGTCCTTCCTTCCTTCCCCCCGTCCTTCCTTCCTACCGTTCTCCCTTCCTTCCATACATCCTTCCTCCTGTCCTTCCTTCCTACCTCCCGTCCTTCCTTCCTTCATTACTTCCGTCCTCCGTCCTTTCTTCCTTCCTTCTGTCTTTCCTTCCTTCATGTCGTCCTTCCTTCCGTCCTCCCGTCCTTCCTTCCTTCCTTCATTACTTCCTTCCTTCCTTCCGTCCTTCCTCCCGTCCTTCCTTCCTTCATTCCTTCTGTCCTTCCTTCCTACCGTCCTTCCTTTCTTCCTTCCTCCTGTCCTTCCTTCCTTCCCCCGTCCTTCCTTCCTCCCCGTCCTCCCTTCCCTTCCATACTTCCTTCCTCCCGTCCTTCCTTCCTTCCTTCCTTCCTTCCTTCATTCCTTCCTTCCTTCCTTCCTTCCTTCCTCCTGTCCTTCCTTCCTTCATTACTTCCGTCCTTCCTCCCGTCCTTCCTTCCTTCATTCCTTCCTTCCTTCCGTCCTCCCGTCCTTCCTTCTTTCCTTCCGTCCTTCCTTCCTTCCGTCCTTCCCTCCTTTTTTCCTTCTTTCCTTCCTATAGTCAATTTGGTTGTTACACTCAATTGTACCCTCCGACATTCCTCAGTATTCGGTAACTCCATAATTTTGAAAATAATTAAGAAAAATAAAATATCCCCTAACAATATATTGTTCTCATCCTGTTTTTCATATTATGAAAGATCTGATAACAGATAATTTAAGTCTCTTGTATAGTTTTTTTTTCTATTTCTTCAAATGAACCGCAGAATATAATTTCAAAGTTCTGCCTGATCTAAGGATGAAGCTCCTATTGGGAAACAAAATGTGTCTTAAGCAATACTTTAATCTACTAGGTATATAATCACGTTCAATTTAGCCCCTAAGTTTAATCATTCAGTTCATCGTATGTACTCGTGTATAGGTCGATTCCATGTATATTTATTCGTTTTCTACGGTTTATCAACATTTTGCAGGTTATTTAAAGCCAGGAAATTTTTTGTAGATAATAATGCTTTACTGATACAAGTCTTATTAATTAACCCGTAGCTGTGGGAGAAGAGATGAATTCATACTTTTCCAGGGGTATGTGTGCGTAAATGAATATAACGAATTAATCCGATTAAAAATTCCGAGCCGTTATCGTTACACCACGCGCAACATTCAAGCTTAGAGCACCTGATATTCAAAAGTGGTCATTAATGTAGATACTGGCCAGGTTTGACGTTGTTTATTCTTGATGTTCGTATGGGAACAGATTTTTTAAACGTGATATGGACGCAAGCAAATGCACGAATAGTACGAGCCTTGAATTTTTACTTGAATTTTAATCCCTCTAGAAAAAAATAACTTGTTTATATTGCAACCGGTCACGGGTAATTTTTTTGAAGACGTTAAAAATCCTGAATTTTATATGCACAGTGCGACCTCCTATTTTCTGCGTAAAAAAACTGATCACAAAATCTTGCATACTCATGTATATACAATAATATGAGGAGCATCCCCCATATTTATTGCTTAGTTTCGAACAGCACAATGGCATAAATGTGTGAGACAGGGTGTTGATCGAAGTGACTACAGTAGTAGATTGTGTGAGAGAGTAACAATTTTCCGAGGGTCAGGAAATGAACTATCTTTCTTCGAGATGTCATTCAAGACATGCAGTTGAATCTTATAAACCTCATTATGCTTTCTGTCGGCACTTAAAAGCAATATATTCGCTTTTAAGATCCGTACTTGGTTTATCATAAAGAAACTTTCCAATAGTAACGATTAGGCTCTACAAGTCGATATCTAGAGATGACGTCAATATTGCTTTTGGAAAGTGAAATTGTAATTAATAAAGAAAGCATCAAGAGAATTGTATCTCAAATGTAAATTTCTGAGAATCCAAGTTGGTTTGGGCCCACTGACCAAATGGTGCACTTGCTAGCATTTACCTTGTATTCATGAAAATGTGATGCACAATATTCCGAAAAACTGTCAGATATTTGGCAACACCTAGAAGAATTAGGAAGAATTAATTTCTTTTTCAAATAGTCTTCATTTTCATGTAATTAATTTGAAACGGCGTAATAATTTTTTGCTACAATGCACACTTTATCAGAAGATTAATATTCGTTCAACGACTCAAAAGCATTTTATGAGTGTTTTATTTACCGGAAGCATGAATTTTAAATCAGGCAATGGAGTATTTGAATCAATAATCAATTTATCACTTGAAAATTGTGAGAATGAATAAAAATCAATAGCAATCATTTCTTATTTTATTTTTCCATTCCTCTCTCACACACTCACACCTTTTCTAAAGCATTGATGCATTTATTTTTAATCCGACAATTTTATTTCTTTTATTTCTTTATAGTGGACACTTCGTATTTGAAGTAGACGCCCCATTTCTATTTATTAAGAAGGCTGTATTACGTCTCTCGGCCTGTGCATTCTAAATAAAGAAAATGTGTACTCTGGCAGGGATCGAACCTGTGGATATATTTACGTGTGCGTATGTACTAGAGAATGTTGAAAAAACAATACAAAGAGGATTTTTTATGAATTTCAAGTGTTTGAACCTTTCTTAAAATTTTGTAAAATATGTCTAACAGAAAATTTATATATATATATATATATATAGAGAGAGAGAGAGAGAAAGAGAGAGAGAGATATGAGAATAGAGGAATAACCATCTCTATATACTTCTGATGACGTAGAAATAATTATTCAGTATGTGTAATTATAATTATTTAATGCTGAATACAATGTTTTCTGTTTAATATTCATAAATTATTGAACATAAACAGGAAATATAACGCAACATTTTTCTTGTATTTCAAAAGTGCATTGTATTTACTTCAATATTCCGTCATTTATTTTGTCGGCAATGCTAAACAAGTAATAATAATAAAAGTAAGCACACATTTGAAAAACCTTGAATTGACGCAGACCAACCTCAGATAAATAGGAACGAATAAAGAACTTTGTTTGTTTTTCTGTTGCTGTTCCGCTGAGTAAAGAGTGAATCCGGCAATAAAATTCATAATGGAACCCACATGTTACAAGTCAGCAACAATAATATTGATGGTCACAGACAACAATGTTAACAGAAAGACAATAAACGGGGGATTATAAAAACAAAAACGGAAGTATAAAAGGAAAAAAAGGCTATAGAAAAAATAGGACTGGAAACGAAAAATGAGTGAAAAATGGCAGTGAATACATTGTTTTGAAAAGTTAATGAAAATTACTATTTACACTATCAGTTATTTGAGGGCGAAAACTCAAAATATTTAAAAAATAAATATATCATCTCTAAAGGATGTCCATTATTAGCACAATTTCAACCTACATTCTCTATGGTTTACTTGGATCCCGATGAAATTCTGACATTTTCTGAAGTTTTTGCTTGCTTTCATTTTCAACCGCGGGTCTATGTCTATGATGTGACGAGTCTTCTTTTGATTCACAATTGGATTTAAATAATTTACTCGCAAAAAACAATTTTTTTAAAAAATAAATCTGTTTGGTACGCCTTCTATATCTCAAGATTCTTGATGCAATTTAAAGAAGGGTTTTTAATGTAATAGATCCTGACCTGGCATTTCGACTTCAGGCACATTCTCACTAACATGATGTCACTGCCCTCTTTTTACAAACATTTTCATGGTAACTGTTCTGTTGAGTTTTTCTTCTACGTAGCTCGACTGCATGAATTTAAGCGTGTTACTAGATTAACAAATAGGTTTCACCATTTTACTGTTAAACTGGCAAGATGCAACCGTTAGTTTTTTCTAATAGCTTCTTTTCTCGCACTTCTCGCCATCTTTCAATTTCTTGCTTCCTTTCTATCTACAATCTTTAAAAAAATCTTCCTTGGATGCATCATGATGAAGGGTGAATAAATATAGTGATTCGAGATGTGTATCAATTGTAACAGTTATCGAGGCGAAAGTAAAATTAGCGAACTGGGCTGGTCTGTTGCGTTCATGAAAATATAAAGGAAAGTTTTGAATTCGAAACAGTGGAGAAAGCAACGGAAAATTACTATCATCCTATACATGGAACCCGTGGTGCGTTGGGGACATGTACACTTTGGAGGGATATGTCACCATTCGATTCAGGAATAACTTTATGATAAAATTGTAAAATATTGAGAACTTAAGTGTAATAGATAAACTTTCATCCAAATAAATGTGGTTTAATTATTTCACAAGACCTCAAGTATGGGGAACCCAATGTAGATGTAACTAATTAATATGCGAGACAAACTCCCAACCCATTACACTAATTCAAAGGCGTTAACGTAAAATTTGTTGCACTTGTGTTAGACGACATTTCTTGTAAGCGAGTAAACTTCGTTATACACAATATATGCCGTATATTACGTATGGATGAAAGAAGAAAAGAATCTTCGGTGAACTGTTGTGATATTTGCGTTGGCTGTGAACAACGGTCTGTATTCATTTGTATCTAAAACGCCTTTTGCCTTTTCAATTCAACCTTAAAACATTTGCTGTAGATTAAAATGAGTAACTAATGATAAGTTGGTCACACAGCCATTATCGTGTCTTCAGCTATATTTATTTGTGGCTGGAATCTTCTTGTGGATACCGATTTTAGACATCGTTATTTTTAGTTTGATGTGTGAAGAAATTGCGGGAAGAAGGGCGGAGGAAATCTGAGAAAAATGCGGAAAGATTGCTTTTAATAAGAGTTGCGTTTTGTGCAATGCAATGCAGGGAGGGGGTGTTTTTTCAATGAGAACCATTTGTTGAGGTTTCGAGTCAAACTAAAATGGCGCTATTTCGTATGCTGATTTTAAAAGCAGATATCTTCAGTTAGAAAATTGGCGCAGCTTGGTCTTTTTATATTCATCCATATGATCTCAGTGTAACTGTCCTAACACACGTGTGAATTAATGGTATTTTAATGGCTGCATCTGCTGCAAGGAAAGCTGAGTCACTATGTTGTGCTAGAATTTTTCTCGTCAGAGTCCATCTTGCACATTTACAAATCTACCATTCGACCGAGCATTAAATATTGTTGCCATATCGTGTCTGATGCTCCTGCTATTCATTTTGAGAGCGATAAATTCCAAAGAAATATCTGTAATGTAATCAATCCTGACTTGGCATCTCGACTTTCTCACCAACTTGACGTGCCTTCCCTCTGTATTTTCTACAAATATTTCCATGGCAACCGCTCTGACGAGATTTTGTCCCTGATGACCCGAATACAGGAATTTAAGCGTGCTACTAGATCGGCATCTAGCTCCCACTGTTTACTGTTGAAATATCAAAGTGTAACCGCCAATTCTACTCCAATAGTTTCTTTCCTCGCACTTCCTGCCTGTGGCACTCCCTTCCGTTTATTTGCTTCCCAGATAGCTACAATATTCAAAAGTTTAAATGCAACGTCAATCGCCATCTTCTTTCTTCTTGAATCCCGTTCTTCTTTTTATCCTTTCCTCATTCCTCCCTATAGCCAGTCTTTTCGCTCACTTTCACTCTCTATAATGCCCTGCAGCCTAGATGAACCCCCACCCCCACTTGCTTGGAGTGAAATGATTAA